ATATAATTGAACCAGAATAGACAGAGATTTTAAAAATTTATTTGACGTCCAATTTTTGCACTTGGCTTCCGATTGCGAACATTAAATCTAAGACGTAATAACTCTTTATTAAGTTTAGTTAAGTCTAACAGAACTTTCCGATTAAAACTTTTACAGGGAAAAAATCTAAATATACGCGTATTATAACTAAAGGTATAATTTATTCAAACGTTTCATGAAATAATTGTTAAAAATAATTTGTGAATTGACTTTTTATCTGAATGATTCATATTAATATTTCGTAAATTTTTGTAAATTAACATAATTGTCTGTTAATTCACAGGCATTTTGTTATAGCCATTATTTTAAATTAAATTTATATCTTTAAATCCTTTTATGCGTAATTAGAAGTACGATCGTGCAAATTTATAACCTTAAAAAAACGTTCTCGTTGGAACAGCAAACACAATAAACTACTGAGATCTCAACAAAAACTACAATTTATATATTTTTAGTTTATAAAAGACTGCGTATAAGCTCTTATCTTGTAATATCTTATATTCTAAAGTCAAACACCGTAAAGTTTGTTTAAAAAATATTGATCATTTTAAGTTTATGTTTGTTCTTTTTAAATTAAATGTAAAAGTAAACCATGTTTTTTTAAAAACCTCATCAAATAAGAAAGAATGTATTTTCGAGAAGAATTAAATTAAAAAAGTAAGAAAATGAATCAACCAATGCATACACAAGCAGATGTTTCTGAATTCTTCCGAAACGTAATATGCAAGAATTAAATCTAAAATTAAATATTCATCGTAATAAGTGAGTAATTTTTGTTCCTATTAATCTCAGATTAATACAGAGTGATTTTAATAATAATTTAACTGTATAATATATATATAACAATTTAATAACATAATAATAATATTAAAATCATTTAATGATAATAATTTGTTTATACTTAAAACGATTAATAATTATTATTTAAAAATATTAAATGATGAATAATTATAATTTAAAAATATTAAATGATGAATAATTAAAATTTAAAATATTAAATGATGAATAATTATAATTTAAAAATATTAAATGATGAATAATTATGATTTAAAAATATTAAATGATGAATAATTATAATTTAAAAACATTAAATGATGAATAATTATAATTTAAAAACATTAAATGATGAATAATTATAATTTAAAAATATTAAATGATGAATAATTATAATTTAAAAATATTAAATGATGAATAATTATAATTTAAAAATATTAAATGATGAATAATTATAATTTAAAAATACTAAATGATGAATAATTATAATTTAATTCAATAATAAAAATATGATTATAATTACTAATATTTAATAGTGATTAATAATTATAATTTAATTCAATAAATAAAATATTATTATTAAAGCATTTAATACATTATAATTCTAATTTAATAATATTTAATACTTTTAATTACAAAGATATTTATAATTCAATAGTATTTAACAAGGATAATTTAATTATAATAAAATAATAATTTAACAACAAAATATAGCATTTATTTTTAATAATAGAAACTTCATTTTGGGCTAAAAAATTCTCAATAATTAGAGAAAAAAATTAAAATGTCATTGAATTTTAGTAATTTTTTTTTTTTTTTTTGCTGCTTTATATTTTGCGCTAAATCAATATATTTTTCAGCGTCGATACATTTTTATTTAAAAGTCTCAGAATCCACATTGGGTTTATAAAGTAATTCAATCCGTTTTATCAACTGAATGTACACTGTCTTGAAATCATTTCCTTTGAAGAATTAAAAGTCTTTCCTCGTATTGTGATTCAAATATCTAATTCTAACAAATATATATTAAAATCCGAGAAAAAACTACAGCAAAAGATATGAATAACAAATATCTGAATCGATACCGCTAACAAATTTTTTTATCATTTATGATTCAAATTTATTACAATCAAAGAATAATTAAGTGCCTATTTTATTTGTATCCATTCTTAGACTGAATTTTTTTGTTGCTAAGCTTTCTGATAAAAATTTTATTACATTCGAAAGTATCCAAAGTCTGAATTTCTTTGATTTTCTGTTATGCTTTTGTTATAACAGGCCGTTCAAGATCTTGTTAAAGAATAAGAAAACGTTCATTAAATAACATTGAATACAGTTATGACACTCTTGGCAGCCACCTGATCTCACCTGAGATGTGGGCGTTACGCTCCTTGTCCCGCCCCCGCTTTGACGTAATGCATCATTCTCGGCTTCCGCTCTCGTTAATGCTTCTTTCAGTTCCTTCACTTCTTTTCCTAAGCTGGTGGTGAGATTGCGAGCAAGGCTAAGTTCTTTCTCCAGTTCCTTAAACTTACTTCGATCCACATCTTGACGCACAGCGGCTTGGTATTCACGCAGCTGGAATGAAAGAAAACTAATTTTAATTAATAATTTGAGGTGGAAAACTTGAAATGAAACAATATTTTTCATAAATAATTACTGAACATAATGGGAGGGATACATAATATCATAATATGTATTCCATTACATCATTTCCAAGAATTATTTGAACTTTCCAATGTAGTCATTTTTTTATATACTTTTTTGAATATTTTTTGTTACAATAATTGGGAAAGGTCGTCGCAGGTCTAAGTTAAAGAGGAGCTGTATACAAGCTCGTATACAATTCTCTACCACACGTAAGAGCGTATATATACGTAAGTGTGTGGCAACATGCATTTAAATATAACGAAATGCATGTGACATTTTAACATACCTAGACTCGGGTTATTGAATCAAATGAAGTAATGTTTGAGCAAATGAGGTTTTTTTTATAGCTATACCATTTGGCCTAAAAGATAATTTAAATTAGTTCGATATCTTGATCAATATTATAGAAAAGACTGTTTTCATTTATCATTCATGTGAGACAATATATCCTTTAAAAATTAATATTTCTCATGACAAATACACTAGAAGAGGTACAACTTTTTGCATGCTCATCACTTTTAATATCTACATTTGCTTCTCATGACATTAACGTTAATGAAAGGATATTCTATAATCTGATATAGAATTCTATTACTTATCTCTATATTCTGATGTGGAAAAACTCCTCCATTTACCCACAAAGATTATTTTACTTTGGATTTCCTTTAATGTGTGTGCATTTCATACATAACCTTTATTTTGGTTATTATTTCAAAAGAATACTTACAATTGTGATGTAGTCAGTTTTTACATTAGCGGATTTCCTCGCACCATTTTCTGCGTATGTAACTTCATTTTAGATACTTTCGGAATAACACATACATTATCCGAATATTCGTTTTGGGGTTTTTTCCCCATGTAGAAATAATGAATGTGAAAAGATTTTATTTTTTATTCAATCATATTGCTAGTTTTGGTTTTTGAAATGTTTATACGATGAGTTTTCCACAATGTTTTTTAACTAGAGAATAAAAGAATATTCCTTTTCGGAAAGAGAGAAACAACATATCCTTTGATCTACAGCTTGTTCACCAACAGTATTTTCAAAGAAAAATAAATTTGAAAGCATCAAACGGTAATTTAAATTTCATACCACAAGCTGTTGTCAGATAATTTTCCCCAAAACTTTTTGAATTTTTAATCTTTTTCTGTAAATTAGTCAGAAAATGTGTAAATCCCTTCTTTTTACGGCAAATTATCTCTAATTTAGAATTGCAGTTGAAATCTCTATAACGTAACTTTAACAGTGACATTGACATGATTAATAACAAAAAACGTCATTTATTGTGACACTTTTAATAAATACACATAATCACCACAATAATTTCACCTTATCGTCCAAACTGTGTCGGTCCAGTTCCAGAAGTTCGCATTTCTTTTCTGCCTTCCTCAGCTTGAATTGCAAGACACGACAGTTTTTGTTAGCGGTCTCCAATTCTTTCTTCAGACCTCGGAATTCTGAAGCTTGGTCCTCTCTGAAGTTGTCATGAAGTTCCTCTAATTCTTGTTCCAGGTCTCTAACCTGCACGGAAAAGGCAAATGATTTGATTTAGTTTGTTAGTTACAACAGGGGGAAATGAATAATCTACAATATAAATAAAAACGTGGAAAAGGACATTAGAGTATTATTTTTATGCGTTCTTTATATATTGTGACAAATTTCATAAATGTGTTCTATTCTACATAGCTGAGGATCAAAATTACGAGATCTTTCGCCAGCTTTTACAACTTCTCGGACTTAATTATTTCTACAAAAAGTTCGACGTTAATAAGTAATCCATCTTGTTATTTATGTAAAATGAAACATAGCTAAATTGTATTTAGAACCGGCTGCTATATGACAAGTAATATAAAAACAATTTTTTTAAGTCTATTCCTACTTAGGACAACGAAGAAAAATTTGATTTTAGTTACTTTTTTATTAAATATTTACAATTAATATAAATATATATATATATATATATATATATATATATATATATATATATATATATATATATATACATAAGACAGAATTACAACATTAAGTGACAAAATAGAGAGAAAGCGATTTTCTTTGCAATTTTCCATTTTCCTTTCTGTGTATGGCGTTGGACTATTTTTCAATTCCTACTATTAGTTCACTCTCTCTATATATTTAAATATTTGTTTATCTTGTTAAAATTTTCAATCGTTAATAAAACAATTTCTATTCATCCAATCAAGTTCAAATAAATTTTTTTAAACTTGTAGTGGATGACACTTGACGTTAAATGCAGTTTTTTCAAATATTAATTAATAAATTAAGTTAAATTAAATTAATTACTGGTTTTTGACCCAACTTAGATTCGTCTCTGTTTTTGTAGCAATATAACTGTTAAAACACAAAGACAAAAGTTGGCGTCGAAAACCAATTTTTCATCCAAACTAGCCAAACCGGGTTTGCAAATTTTTTTTCTATATTACTTGTTTGTTTGTTCCTATTTATTCATTCATTAAATTTCATTATTCTTTTTAAATAGAATAGTAAAAAATAAATCACATTCTCAGAAACTAGGTCATTCCAGGGGGAATTCGAACCTCCAACCTTTGGATTAGAAGTCCAACGCGCAATCCATTGCGCTACAGGAAGACGACAAACGATTTTAATTTCTATATATGCTGTTGGACTATTAGTTTTGTTTGTTACTGTTTATTCATCAATTAAATTTAATTAATGAATTAATATTTGAAAAACTATATCAACATCAAGTGTCATCCACTATAAGTTTAATAAAATGTATTTGAACTTGAACGAAAGAATAGAAAGTATTTTATTAACGATTGAAAATTTGAACAAGATATAAATATATATATATATATATGTATATATATATGTGTGTGTATATATATTGAATTATGTGTGTATATTTATTGTGTATATATATTGTATATATACATATATCTATACATATATATATACATATATATATATATATATATATATATATATATATATATATATATATATATATATATATATATATATTGGAAGAGAGTGAACTAATAGTACAAATTGAAAAATAGCGTATATTTTGTCAATCTTGCTATTTTTTTATTTTTAAATCCTTGCTCAATATTTAAAGAATCTTACTCGGTTTTTTATAATGATTTTCAACATTTTTGCTCATTTTCTCACACTTAAATTCCCTTAAATACATCGACAAACACACACAAGTGTTACATGTAACTCATTAACTCATTTTTCTTCCATTAGATTATTTTATATTGAAAACAATTTTTCTGGCATATTTTGATCTAATGCAATACGAAAAAAAATAAATATTGTGATATTGAAGTTGTTATTATAAATTAGTAAATCTCTAAATTGGTTTAAAATAGCTTTTAGAACATTATTTAAGGTGCTTAAATTAATTTTTTAAAGCTTTCTAAAGAATGCAGTGTTCCGCAATATTACATGTGTGATTACTATTTGCATTATACAATCCTTTTTTTCGGAAACTTTGCTTATGATATTTTTGAACTTCGTTTAAAGGTCAGAATGCTCTGTGAAAAATGTCTTTTTTGTTTCTGTGGTAAAATGCAAATCTTTAAATTAACGTAACGTGTAACATTCTTAACGCTCTTAAAGAGAACTATAAATATATATGTGTGTGTGTATGAATATAAGTCATAAATCAGTACTTCTCAAACTTTAAATGTTTGCGATCCAATATTCAATCATAATTTTCATCGCGCCCCCTCATACAATAACATTGTATTGAATTCAATAATACTATACTTTGACGCTAAAATGACGACACGACCTTAACCTCTTAAAGGCCACCGGCGTATATGAACGTCTCGCGCAGTCAAAACGTTCATTGCCCCGGACGCATATATACGTCTTTCTGAAGTACGATCTTTTATCTGCACTGCTATTCATAAAATTATTTCGAAGGCTTTGGAATGCAAAAAAGGACATTGACAATGTTTGCGAAGGATGTACTTTTTTTTTTCAGATTATTTTTTTGCCTCTTAATCCCCCCAATACATCCCTATGTATGCCTAAGTGGGAAACGGTTAGCATTGAGAAGCGAATCGCGTAGCTTTTGATCGGTAGTTAAGGGATACAGTCAGTAGCGCACACAGGAATTTTTCAAGGGGGTCCGAGGTCAAAAGTTCACCATTCTTGTATGATGCTCCTTTTAATTTTGTCGATTTTCGGGAACAAAACACAATAAAAAACTTATTGAATAAATAATTAGCATTAATTAATAAAATTAATCATTAATAACAAATACTTAATTAAATTTTACGTACTATATACTTAGAATTATAATCAGTCGGAAAAAAATCAAGGGCTATGGGGGAGGTCCGGATCCCCTTCCCCTTGTGTGCGTCACTAGATACAATATATACAGTATAAATTATTAAGATAAATGTTAATTTTTGTATATATTTTTATATATATATATTAGAATCTCATAGGGTCATCGGTAAATATTAAACTCTTGTTCTCTTTACTTAGTATTATTAAATTAATAACTTAAATTGTGTAGCACTGATACATTCATAAGTGTAATATATTAGTGTAAATGTGTATTTTATTTTTTATTATGTCAGATTGTATTTTGTTCGTTTACTTTTAGTAAATTAATAATTTTTTAAAATAATATCTCCTTTTTGAATTTTCAGTATGCTCGCGCCCCCCTCGTAGAGTTGTCACGCCCCCAAGGAGGGTGCATCCCACAGTTTGAGAAACACTGTCATAAGTAAATCAGTATAAGGCTTTTTTTTAAAAAAAAAAAAGTAAAAAAAAGTAGACATCAGTATTTCAAACACAATATCATTTATAAATTAATTTAAATAAATGAAAATATATCTTTATTTGCAATTTTCTGAAAATGCATTTTTGAGTGATTCCGGTATACTTTTCTTAAAATCTACTTTACTTAAATTGCTGATATTTTGAATGTTATAAGATCCACAAATTTTTAACAAAGTGAATAAATTCTTTTTCAAATAAACATTCACAAATTTTAGACGTAGCATAATTTCTGCATAAAACTAAAAAGAAATTTAAATCAGTAAATTTAAAAAAATTTTAAATTTTTATAAATTTATTTTTTAAAATTTCATTTCATTCATTTTATGGATTGTTACATTTGCAAAAACTCTGTAAAATTTTATTGCTATGTATGCAATGTATTTTATGCAAAGTGAGCCTAAAGGTAAGAACATGCTTTGAAAATAAAAAAAAAATAGTTGTTGATTGTTTATTGATCATACAAATTTATTTGTAATTTAAAATGGACTTTTTTTACATTAACAAGTGCATAAATGAATAAATAATTCAACGTAAAAATTTTACTTCCGCTGCTTTTAATTTAAGTAAGTGAGAATTATTTAAATTTGGTGTAAAAAAGTTCATTTTTCCTTCTTGCAGACGTCCCAGTTACCTAAAACGTTCATTGTTGTAACAAAGAATTTAATTTTCTTATTTATCTTGTTTTTTCTGTTGTATACAACCTGGCATCAAAAAAATGTACACATTTCGCAGTTCTTTAAAAAAGCCCTTTTTATAAAAATTGAGAGAAATCTCCACCAGCTCTGATGGAAAAGGAGCAATACAATGCTGCAATGGAGAATGTTGTAAGTAAAACAAGTGGAAAAAAGAATTAAATCTATATTTATTTGGGAAAAAAATGTAGATAGGATCATTTTTTGGGATTTTTATCCAACCTCGAGGTAAAGCTGTAACAAAAGATTCTTGGAAACATTAAAACTAGTTTTTAAGTTGGCAAATTTCTTAATTAGATTTATTTTCCGATGTATTGTTTTCATTGCGTTAGTTGTTATTCGCTCATATTTTTCAGCATTTAGGGACCAGTTTCATACTCATTAGGTCAATGTGAAAGGGCACATTTACTTTCGTTCATAATAAAAATGTAAGGTTATGTTTTTTCAAAAAATTATTTTCATTTATATTTTTGAAATCTGTTGATGAATTTATTTGATATTTCATTATACAATAAGTTTCATCTGTAGATGTGTAAAAGCAATATTTATATGGGAGTATATATTTTTTGTGTTGTTCTCCCGAACTTCTTTATTACGGAAATTTTTTTTACCATTTAGTACCAGATTATTTTATACATTATTTCCAGGTTATTTTATATTATCCACAGAGAAAAACATTATAATTCTTTGGCAAACCGTTTTTCGGTGGTCAACAAAGATTTTGACAAATGCGTGTTTTTGAGACTTAGTAACAAATTTTACCTGAAACATATAAAAATGTTATTAAAATTATTCAGTATCTATTCAACATTTAATTCTTCACTTAGTCAGTGGCGTAACGTACACCCCCGCATCGCTAGAGGCCCGGGATTCTAGAGGGGCCAAAGCCTATGTTATGTTATGGTTTTGCAATCCTTTGTAAGAGCCAACTTGGAGCCAAAAACCTGACTTTGTAGGGGGGGGAGCACTAATATTCTATGTTACACACTGCACTTAGTAATATATCAAGTATGTGCAGTGGCGTAACGGAGAATATTAGGGTCACCTACAAAGTCGGGTTTTCGGTCTCGAGCCGCACAGGTAGTCGGTCAGGCCTTGGCCCCCTAGTGCCCCGTCTCCCCCCGCGATGTAGGATTGGGGGGTACGCTACGTAACTGAGTACGTGTGAGTGCATTATAAATATCTATTTCTATTTTTCTCCGTATAGTATGTAGTGTTCTTTACTATAATTCGGGCCAATTCAAACTGGTCAGTCTGTCATATGAATAAATCTCCGACAACCTGGACCAATTAAAAAGCCCTACATTCATTTTTTGATGCATTCATTAGCGCCTATATACATTCATTTTGTATATTTCGTTTTCAACTTGTTGGGTAATCAAATTTGACACTACGATACAAACGATCCCAAACAAAAAAAAAAAATCCTTCGCTCTGTGTAAAAAAAACGAATGTATCAAAGAGAAAAACTAATTTAGTATTATGACACTTTTTTTACTTGATTCTTGTCCAGAATTACTCAGAGAAGATTCCACCTACACTTGGCAAGCCCGTTTCTGTGATGGCCCACTGTAAGGCTACTGAGTTTCATTTCCCCTGTCTAGCTGGCTACAACTCAGATTCATTAAGTGAACTCGTTCTTTACTTTATGATTTACATCACTTTTTACTTTCTTTCTCTCCTATTAATACATAACATACGCATGCTCGTTTTTATGAGTAAAGATAGGATTGCTTGAGATACAGAAACGTTTAGATCTTGAGTAAATATTTAATCTCCATATTTTTTTAAAGGGTTCGTATTGTATTAACACTCAAGGGAAGCTCTAACGAACGAACTAATAAGTTGCCATGTTGTACAAATAAGGACATCATGTAAGGGTCATAAGATGTAGTGCAGGAGTAGCTAAAAATTGAGTTTTAAGAAGAGTCGATTTTTAAACAAAATAATTGCTATTCATGCAGTTGTTGAATATATTTTGAACATATCAGTGGCGTAACGAAGAATACTACCCCCCTGTAAAATCAAGTTTTGGGTCCCACGCCCAAATACGTACTTGATGCCAGTCAGGCTTTGGGCCCCCTAGAACATCTGCCTCTTCCCCCTCCCGCAATGGGGGGTACGTTATGC